CATTTCATTCAGCAAATGTGTGTCAGGTGGAAGTTGCCTGGTGTGCTTCTCACAGTAGACACGTGGGAATCGTTAAGAAGCTCTACGATGAGCAGTCTTGAAATCCTATAGGTAATGGGTTGAATCTGCTTGGCTGTGGAAGGGAACGAGCCCTGGAAACATAGCATTCTAGTTCATGCTGTAGTGGAAAATGGTACCGGCTCTTATCCCATGCCATTGTGGAAGGGACTGTTGGGTTGGAGGAAAGATGTTGTTTTTAAGTATATGTTTGATAAAACACCAGTGACTTTAGCGTGTGTGTGTGTGTGTGTGTGTGCACATGCACTCACAGGAACACACATGCAAAATATCCACAGATGAATGTGACAGCTAGTGCTACAAAGAAAACAAAATCAAAAGGATACAAGTGTAGCCTAAGTTGCTGAACACCCACGTGTTTCTATAGTTTCTGTAGTTTTCTTGCTGTTTCTTTCTAGTTGTATTTCAGTTGACAAGACATGGGATATTGTTTTTGAGTTTTTGTATTTGTGACGACTTGTTCCATGTTCTAAATATAATCTGTCTGGACAAAGTTTCTGTGGGCTGCTGAGAAGAGCCTGTTCTGAAGTTGCTGGATTAGACAGTCTGTACGTGACTTGATCCATGGCACAATTTAACCTTGCGGTTTCTATTTTAATTTTCTTGTCTGGATGGCTCATCTGTTGGTGAAATTCAGGGTTGAAATCACCCACTGTTACTGTTGGACCTGTCTGCCCTTTGAACTCATAGGGCTCATCCTATGACATTGGGTGAATTAAAGTTCCTTGCGTATATTGACAGTCATTATATCTTCAAGATGCTATACCTAGATTGTTCTTATTAATGTATAGCGAGTTTCCTTATGCCTTCTAATTTTGTCTAAATTCTTCTCTGTCACATTTGTCCTTTAAATAGCAAACTGTCATATATTTCTTTATAATTCAGTCAGTCTCTTTTAACCTGGGAAATTACACTGTTTACACACAGGGTTATATTTGATAAGTTTTTACTAATTTATCCACATTAGACATCTGCTGACTACTGAGTTAATATAACCCTGTCTGATTCTTTTCTATGTTTCAAATCTTAATCTGTCCTTTCATGAGAGTTGGATTTTTTTTGAGCTCTTGTGTTTGTGTTTCTCTTTCCTGTCTAGGTACAGACTCCATGTAAGTGTCCCCTGTAGTGCCAGCGTGGTGACCATGAATTGCTTTGATACGTGTGTATGATGGCATGTCTTCATATCTCCCTTGACTTCTACAGTAGGCTCTGGCAGTCTTTGGGGGCAGCTCTGGTGTTTCGGGGCTTGAACTAGGCCATTTCCCGTTCTCTCAGCACTTACTGCTCTTATTTCTTTTTTTTTTTTTTTTTTTTATTTTTTTTTTTTTTTTGAACATGAAATGCTTTTTTATAGCATGTTTTACAAGGGGAGGGGGTAAGAGGGTCCAGGTGGTGGAAAAGTACAAAATCTTCTTGGCCTGTGCCTTGAAACATGTCATGGTCTATATGGTACACTGCCTTGAATTATGATCTACCTGCAGTTCTTCAGAACATATGGTACACAGGGATCCAGCTATACCACTCCTGGGCATATACCCAAAAGAAGTTTCAACATACAACAGGGACACATGCTCCACCATGTTCATAGCAGCCTTATTTATAATAGCCAGAAGTTGGAAAGAACCCAGATGCCCTTCAACAGAAGAATGGATGCAGAAAATGTGGTACATTTATACAATGGAGTACTACTCACCTGCTCTTATTTCTTCTCTGATCTGCCTTCATAAGAATCCAGCACTTCTCTCTCACAATGGGCAATAACCTCTTCTTCTCTATCCCTGGCATTTTACCTGCAATGTGTGATGCGGATTCATTTCTGGCCATGATTACTTCAGTTCTAAAAGTCTTGTATGCTTACATGTCATTTCTTTCCCTAAATTTAGGAGATCATCTTCTATAATTTTATTGACTAAATTTTCTGGGTTTTTAGCCAGTAGTTTGCTTCTCTCCTCTCCACCACAGACTCATGTGTCCAATCTCTTACTGATTTTCCATGGGTATTTAATGTTGTAGTCATGATTTTTCTGCTATGCAAATGTAGTAATTCTTCATTCTTGGCTTGATCCCTGGTATCCTTTCATTCTCCAATCTAGTCTACTGGTGATGTTCTGTACTGAGCTTTTCATCTGGTTCATTGAGCTTTCAGTACTATGATTCCCAGTCTGTTGTTCTGTTGCTTTTTCAGAATCTCTATGTCTCTGATAAATTTCTCACCGAAGTAGTTGATCTCCAACTCCAGGTTATGAATTGCCCGTTTTCTTCAGTCTCCTGTTTATTTGAATCTGAAGTGAGTTTATTGATAATTCTATTTATTTATTTATTTACTTATTTATTAGGTATATTTATTTATTATATGTACATTAGTGTTCTATCCGCATGTACACCTGCACACCAGAAGAGGGCATCAGCTCATTATAGATGGTTGTGAGCCACCAGGTGGTTGCTGGGAACTGAACTCAGGACCTCTGAAATAGCAACTGGTGCTCTTAACTGCTGAGCCATCTCTGAAGTTGTATCGATCATCTTTTAAAGTAAATTTGAACACTTTGTTTGTTGTTTCACCCCCTGGATGTTTGAATTTAACCACTTCAGAGTTATGTGCTTTTAGCAGAATCACATTTCTTTCTTTTTGCTATTTCTCCTGTTTCAAACTTGTGATTTGTGTATTGTTGGGGATCAACTCTGGCTGCTACATGGGCATCATTCTAGTGAATGGTCTTCTCTTGAGGTCTGAATAACTTAATCCCTAGTATCTCTCAGAGAAGTGAAGACAAACTGCAGTAACATCAAACAAACCAGCTACAAAAACCAGAGCTACCTAAGGGTAACAACTAAGGGTAACAGCTACCAATAACCATAGAAAATCACATGGAAGGAACAAGAGAAAAGCATCTGATGACAGACAGATATAAATAAATGGATCTGATAAAGGCAGCAGGAAGAACAACATGTAAGTGTCTTACAATAAAATCAAAGTTTAAAACAATACTAAAATGCAATAAGAGAGGGGAAGATAGGGTGGGGGAAGAGGAAGTAAAGGAGGAGAGAAAGAGGGAAAGGAGTGGGGAGAGGGAGAGGAGGGAAGGAGACCGGTTTTAAAATTGACAAGGAATTAGAGACTCTTCTTCCTGGGCCTCTAGTCATGGAATTGTCCAGCATAGGGAGAGGAAGAGGTTATCTGGCTCTAGTCTTCCCCACTGTTCTACATAAGACTGCATGTGGGCTGAGAAGCATCCAGTGTGGGCTAATTGCTGTGCCCACGTGGGCTGAGATCTGTGCCCATGTGGACTGAGGCCAAACCTTCACGTCTTCCCACACATGGACCACTGCTGGCCCCAAAGAGCTTCACAGGCTGGGCTCTTGCCTCAGAGACCCCCAATTTGTTTACCCAGAGTGAACAAATCCCCAAGACTGTGGCTGTGGTTTCAACTCCACACCACCTATAGACCAGCATTGGTGAAGAGGGGGTGTTTCTCACCTGGTTCTGAGTATCCTTTCTGTTTCTACATCCTTCTTCACTGTTGTATCACCTGGGTTTTTTCTAACACAAGTGTTTGACAGTGTACCTTTGTCTAAGCATAATGTATTGTCCCCCCTCATCACCTCCCACTCATAAACACTTCTTTGCAAAAGGTCTCCTTCCTATTTTTCATGTCCTTCTGTTTGTGGATGTCCTGTGCAGGTAGCCGAAGCTGTGTGTTCATGTTATTGGGGTGTCGTGTACAGAAGACAGCATTTCTAAGACCCTCCCCATCCTCCATTCCTTACATTCTTTCCACTCCCGTTTCTGTGACGTTTCCTGGGACTTGCAGTGAGTGGTACTGAGGTTTCTGCTTAGGGATAAGCCATTTATTCTCAGCAATTCGACCACTCGAGAGGCTCTGTATTAAGCAGTAACCACTGTACACAGATGCTTCTCTGACCAAAGCTGAGAAGAACACTGATGTTCCACATATGCATAAATATTTAAGTGCAGTTTGGTACCACATCCATATAGCACGGCCTGGGAGTAAGTTCCTCCCTGGGTTTAATAACTCCCCCAGTCCTAGGGTTATACCTAGGTTTCTAGTATTATGTTTTTATTCCTTCCCATGGTGTGGGCCTGGCATTCAATCAGAGGGCAGTTCCTTTCCAAACAGCCGTGGCACTACTGTGTCAGTGGGAGCATCTTGCCTGCAGATTGGTTTTCTTTAAGATTCATTTTTTATGAGTACATGCAAGCTATCTACATGGTCATTTCTCCATTTAACAAATTCCTCTCTTCCTCCCTTTGGCTGAAGCCAGTTGGCCAAGGCTAAGCTTTCCTAGTACCCTTGTTTTAGGAGAAATAAATATCATGTAACTTTGGGATAATTGCTTCTCAAATCTATAGGAAAAACAGCAAAGTACAGAGGGACCATCGAGCTTAGACAGATGCTCTTGGCCTTCTGAGAGACACTGACAGGCTGAAGAAAAGCAGCCATTTATTTTCACTGAAGCATCTGCTTCCAGCAGGTGCCACAGCAAAAAAGACAAAGTTAGTTCATCCCCAAGTCCCCAGGTAGCCCGAGCCATCATCCGACTCGTTGCCCTTCTTCCTTCCACAGGGCTGGACTGTCACACAGCACTTCAGATTCTTCTGACAGAGAGAAATGAGTTCTTCATTCTTCAGACAAGATTGTGCACATCTCCCATTAATCCTGGTGCACTTCTCATCGAAAAATGCATTCTTGGCTGCACGAAAGAAGAAACCCCGCCCCGGTTAATTCTGTTTCACATGTGGCTAATTACCGCCTGTGATTGTTGTCTACCCTCAGCAGAAATCTCTCTAAAGGTGTGTCTTAGGTCCTTTACCCTCCGATAGATAAATTGCTTGCAGAAACATTTTCTGTATGATAACCCCATCTTCTGTCACACAAGGTGAAAGAGCACAAAGAATTAGCGAACACCTGAGCAGTTTTGATTGGAACTTTGGAAGACAGAAGCTACTGTTCTTTTATGCAAATGTGCTAGAAAGAAGATTATCAACTCAACTCATAAACACTTTCAAACCCTGGCACTTCCCTTAGTTTCAAAGATTTCTACTCAGGAAGGGAGCAAGATCTAAGTCTGAGAAGACGGCTCAAGACTGGTATTAAATGTCTGAAGACAGTTACAGTGTACTCATATACATAAAATAAATAAATCTTTTAAAAAAAAAAAAGCTGGGCAGTGTTGGTACATGGCTTTCATCCCAGCACTTGGGAGGCAGAGGCAGGTAGATTTCTGAGTTCGAGGCCAGCCTGATCTACAGAGTGAGTTCCAGGACAGCCAGGACTACACAGAGAAACCCTTTCTAGAAAAAAAAGAAAAGACTGGTATTAAAAGTGGAATTATATACAATGGACAAAAGCTTAACGGAGAAGAAGAAAGTGAAGAGGCATAGAGTATACCCAATTCACAGTGACAGCCCAGGAAGATTGAAGACAAAGAACAACCTTGTCTATGGGTTTCTAATTGGCCATCACAGATACTCAAGTATGGAAAGATATCTGACTTCTCTATCACGTTCCACCAAGATCCCACTGTAAAATTCACACACTGTAGGGAAGGGGGTGTAGTTGAGACCAGCTCCCTGTGACTTTTATTTGCTATTTTGCATGAAATTGCAGTGTTTGCGTTAGCCCTCAGGAGGACAGACTGCTGCTGCATGCTAAAGGCAGACAATCCATATTACCAGGATGAAAATCTCAAGAGTTACTGACTTGAAGTACATGCCATGGAGGTATGGGAAGTACATGCATTCCATTTGATATGAATACATAAGGCTGCTGACTCAAATGTATCCAAATCCCAAATCCCAGGGGAAGACAACTCTCATTCCAGCCGTTGTCTACTGTCTGAATATCAACTCACAAGTATGAGGAGCCCATGGTTCCAAAGCCCTTTAAACCCTGGCTTTCTCTGCAGTGTCCAATATTTTCTCTGCTCTCCTTACATAGTAAGACTGTGTAAGACTAGAGGTCCAAGATCTTTCTCTGCAATGAGAACTTTTAGCATATCAAATTCACTATGATAAACCAGCACCTTTTGGACCAAAAGAAGATCTTTGCCTATAGCTTTCTAAGGAATCCAAATGGAGTCTCTGCATGTGTGGTGCATTTGTTACAAGAGATAATTTTATTCTGTATGATCTTACATTGTGCTAACTTTGTAGTACTTATGAGCAGTCTTACTATCTCTCCCCAGCTTCTAATGTTCACATCAGTGCCAGCAGGATGCGTGATTATCAATTATCTACTGAAGGTCTACATCCTCGTATCCTGATGCAGCATCCACTCACACAGATTATCACCACACAGGTCAGGGGTACACACAACTAACGTGACTGTTCAGCAGCACACACGAGCTGACACAGCACTGGTACCTGGAATAGTTAGACTCACTTGGACTCCCATGAGTCCTTCTTCAGCTCTATGGAATTGGCAAGGGTCTAGTCTTGTTTCTTAATTTTGGAGGGGATGCAGCTGCATCTTTTCAAACTTGCCAGAAGTGTGAGAAAGTACAGAGAGCTCTGGTGTGGAAAGGATGTCCCGTACAGGTCACACTGTGTAACAGAGAGTACCAATACTGCGCTACCTATACGTCCCTGAAAAGACTCGCTTCTCCCATGCGAGTCCCAACCTTCATGCACATACAATATACATATGGTACATATGTCAAGCCAAAAAGAAAAAGGACTCTGGATATCTCTAAATTAAAAATACAACAGTATTTTCCTCCAAGGCACTGGCTTTGGAGAAGTAAATGTGTTTATTATCAGGGGTCTACAACACAGCATCCATCTTTAGATATGCGATTAACAAATGGCTGTACCCAGTGTGTGCTTCTGCCTGGTGCCCTGATGGATATGGATATGAAACTCCACCACTTTCTTCTTCCATACCTCTCTTTTTCTATCTCCCTGTTGTCTATTTTATTCTATACTTAAAC